CCCCCCGCCCATACAAAAATCCTAAATGGCAACCTCTTAATTGTAACGCATCGTTGGAAAGCTACTGAAAAATTCTTTCCAGTGGTACCAATAAAGTCAATATTCATGAAGACAATTTAACTAAAATTTAATAATTAACAACAAAAAAACTAAATGTTGACATTGAGGGATTTATGGCAATTTGGCCAAGAACTTCAACTTGGGCTGCTTCATTAAGCAATCTTGGTTGCTTTCTTTTTTTTATTGACTTACAGTACAGCTGAACGTGTGGAAATAATATTCATTTATGGCTCCAAAAATCGATCTTCTTTTTTGTTAATTATTAAATGTTTGTTAAATTGTATTAATGAATGTTGACTTTATTGGTACCACTGGAAAGCATTTTTCAGTAGCTTTCCAAAGATGTGTCACAAGTATGGGGTTGCCATTTAGGATTTTTGAATAGGGGGGGGGGGTTAAGGGGGTGTCACTCATAACATCATTCTGGTTCCCCCTCGATACCCCCGAAACGGTTTTGTGCGATTTTCAATATCTTCTTTAAGTGTGGAAAATATGGCCGACTGCAAGTTTTCAAATTGACACCCTGTATGTAATTTACATGAGGTGCCCATGCAAAAAAAGGCAATTTTTATCTGCCTCGTCCAAAACGAAAATCATATTGATTAATTCATTTTTCGAATAATTCATTCAAGTCGAAAAACTGGAGATTAAATTTAATAGTAAAAACAAACAAATATCTTTACCCATTTTTAGCGCATTTTTTAAGAATTAAAAAAATTAGCTATTGTTTGCGTTTTGTCCGTCCGTCCGTCCGGACCCCCTTCTACCGTTTTGAACTACTTCTAGGGGAATGGTCCTAGAGTCCTGGAATTTTTTGCAGTAGGTAGTCTATACCTTGTAGGTGTGCCAGACGGCGATTAAATTTCGCTGTCTAAAAGGGGGACTCCCCCACGTATTATTTCCTGAGATAATGTTTTTGAAAGTAAAATGTGGATAACTTTTACATACGACAACCAATTGCTCTCAGATTTTGCATACGCATGCCTTTAATGGTGCTATGGTAAACTTTAAAAAATGAGGGGGGGGAGGTAAACACGTTTTCTGTTCTTCATGGTATTCTAATGAAAGGTCTCATCGAAATAAATTGGTTTGTACAAACGATAACTTTTCCGTGCGACTCTTTTTCAAGACCAGTGAGCGACGGGGCCTGAGAGGGGGGAGGGG